ACTTTTTTTGTAGGTTTTCAATAATTCTTTTTATGTATAAAACTACAAAAACTGTCAAAAATGATGTCCACTTGTGATTATTTTAAAGTATAGAAATATTTTCAAAGAAAATGTTGACAGTTTATATATTTGATTTGACGTTGGTGTCCCTTCTGCTTATTCGTTATAATCAAGAACGATGAGTAGAAACATTTTTTATTTTATTTTTAAACGTCTTCTGGTGGAACAGCACCTAGATCTATTCGTGTGAAAAATAATGCCGTATCCTACTGTCCTCTTTGGTGAACTAAAACTATGCGCCTTCTTGTATTTCACCATCTTACATGTGGTAAGGTCGATGCATTTTCGTGGTGGTACCATTACGTGGGCACCTGTCAATACAAGTCAAACTAGTAGTAGTACAGTTGATATTATCATTGAACAAAGTTATTCATGGAAACGCAGTAGTCATTTAACTGACTATTGTGATGCTTCAACAATTGCTACGAATGGTCTTATCGGTGATTCCAGTTATTTAGAATGTTTAACAATACCAAATTGTGGTGGATTTTTAAGCGGTAATTTATCTACACAGGTTGTATGTACAGATTATAGTGCTAATGTTGATATGTCTACTGGACGGATATCAAATATAGTGAAATTAAATAACGGCTCACAATTAACAATTGGCTACAATAGTAGTGCATGGCTACCACTTCAAACAGTACCTAGTGGTTCATGGAGTATAATAACAGCGATTAATTTACAACTGCGTACAGATAATGGACGATTAAATACACCACCAATAACAAATTTTTTACCCGTCATCAATGTCCCTATAAATATACAGCGTACAATTATTATACCAATGTTAGATGTTGATGGCGATTATCTACGTTGTCGCTGGTCTAAAAGCAGTCCAATTGATGAATGTGGTAGTGTTTGTTCAGCGGTGCCCGGTGCTACACTCAACGGAAATTCTACGTGTACATTAACATTTACAGGCACATCAGTTGGTTATTATGCAGCTGCCTTGCAAGTCGAAGATTTTTATATGAGTACATCTAATATTAGTAGCCCATTGAGTTCCGTACCGGCACAATTCCTAATCAATGTTATTAATATTACATGTTGGCCAACAATTATTGGTCTACAACAAAATGGTGCAATGATCTATGTTCTAGTAAATACACTTGTGATAGAAACTGTAATTGCAGAAACTGGCTGTTTGGGTACAACGATTACAGATTTTCTTGAAACAAGTCCCAGTGGTATGATAACATCATCTGTTACACAGAATCCATTGAATTCTAGTCTGTATTCAATTACATTAAATTGGATACCGACCACATTGGGCTCACAAGTATTTTGTTGTGCAGCTCTAGAGAGTAATCAAGGAGAATCAGATCAATATTGTAAGTTGCATCTTTCAACACTCATTTACCAGCTATACGAAGTATTTCTTCTTACAGGCTTAACATTTGTGGTTGGTGCAGTTACTACTACTACTACTACCACCACTACCGTCGTTACATCCATCACAATGACAACGTTACCATGTAAGCCATACACGTGTGACGAGGGAACCTTTTCAGATGCCCACTTACGATTTTAATGATTTATACGGCGATCGATAGGGCACAGTGAGGTAGTTAAAACCCTAACGATGTTCCTCCATGGCTCTTTCCTCAAAAGTTACAGACATTTTTCTATTTTTTTCAGCGGAAATAGGCAAAAGCTGGAAAACTAATAACTCACTCAAAACACGTTATGAAAGACCGAACTTTTTCTATGGTTCCAGTATATGTCTTTAACATCCACACAAAGTTTCAGCTTTCCCGCTTGTTCCATTTCCGAGTTATTGAATTTCTAACTTTTCCATACATGTACCATTGAATACTTTCCGAGTAAAAACGTTATAAAATCTTTAAATTTTTTACCAAAGCTTCTGAAGCTGTCAAAAATGATAACTCGAACTGCACTTTATACTGCACAAACGAAAAAATTGTTGGGAACCGCTGGATCTCTAGCGACAAACACCGTAACGTGTTTTGAATGAGTTATTAGTTTTTAGTTTTTGCCTATTTCCGCTGGGAAAATTAGAAAAATGTCTGTAACTTTTGGGGAAAGATCCTGTTGGGGTCTTAACTACCTCACTATACTCTATCGATCGCCGTATAAATCATGAAAATTGTAGCTGGGCATCTGAAAAGGTCCCCTCGTCAGTGAAGTACGAATACAGAAACCACATACGTAATGCGAAATGTAATAATAGACTCCATAACGAAGCGTTTCTAATTCGTTTGCTACTTTTAGATGGATTATCTACTCTCGATATTGGTTTAATTACTGGAATGTCCTTACTTGGTTTACTATGCTGTTGTAGTTGTTGCTGTTGGTGGTGGTATTGGTTATATCGGAACTGCTTCAAAAGACCAAAACAGTGAGTAAAGAAATCCAGAATGTACTTCATAGTTTATATTGAGTGAAGCATCGTGCACTTACAAAAAGAGCCGAATGTAAATTAAAAATAAAATTTATAATAATGTGACTTGAAAATGAAACAAATCTGAAATAAAGATTCGCGCAATGCATTCAGTCACCATTTTATTCAAACTATAGTAGCATCACATAGCAACTGAGTAGTTTACATCTGATTCTACGAACCGCTGCACAACCGCAGTACGAATGAATTAAGGGTTCTTTTTTTGAAGAAGTCAGTGCATTTTGTTGTTTTTTCTCCTGCAGCAGTAGACAACTTTGGAAGCGACGAAAAGAAAAAATGAAAGTGCACCATCAACAAGATATTTCATCGATATCAAACGATTCGACGGAGCGAAATCCATACCTTATTAATAGCAACAGATCATCGTTCATCTGTAATGTGTGTGGTGTTGGTAGTGGTAGTAGCAGACGAGCAGCAACAATGTTAAACGGCAGTTTTGAATCTGGCTTGGGATCGGTATCTACCACTACTGCTAATGGTATTACTCAACCACATAGTAGTCGACCAGTAAAATTTCCAGTACGAGATAATACCACAAACGACTTTAATGTAATACAATTACAATCCCTACCGCCGCAACCTAAATCATCGTCATCGCCAACACCTACGCAAATATTTACTACCGGTAATAATAGTCCAGTAATGCAATCGATTTCACCAAGACCTAGTGGAATTAGTATTGTTAAACTACAACAACAGAGGAAAAGATGGTATGACTACTAATAATACATACATACAATGTGAGAAATTAAGAACAACAACACTTACTTCTTTCTTCCGTACATACTTCGACTTACTTATTATTTGAGATTCGTGAATGAGCGGTGAATTTTAACATTGATTTGCTCAGTAGATACAGTTCTCATGAGTGCGTTGGGGTAGGAGCTTGCGGAAGTTCACGCATCTGACGAACGGAATGAGCGGTAGTGGCGGGGAGAACAAGGTATCGATGAGGATCAGAAAAAATTATTTTCTGTATCTAAAACTCATTGAAAGATAACTTTGAACATACCTGAAAAACTGCATGTAGTTGTTGCAGTTTAATTAAGGTGACTGGCAATCTCATGTCGTTTAAAGCGATTTGTTTTTTCTGCTCACCGACGACATTCTAAGTATGACTCAGTAATCTGGTTATTTTCAGTGTTTAGCTCAAGTGTAAATTCCTTCGAAGATAACACATTTTTAGAGAAAACAATTCTCAGCAAGTTGAGCTGTTATATGTTTGAATATAACGTGATTCTCCCAAGACGTAACAAAACAATTATCACTTACGAAAAGACGGTGACTGACGAATTCGAACATGAAACCGAAAGAATAGAAAGCGAGATATGTATCACTGGACTATTGGTGCTCGACCAAGATTTATGTATCTTGTGTCATATTCTGTACCGTGTAGTGATGGGGCGGAAACAGTTAGAAATGCTCAGTTGATTTTCAGTTTTTGATGAAAATCCCGGTAGTTTTCAGGGTGAAACGTCGAGAAAAATGACAGTAGTCGGGTAGGATAGAAATACACATCAGTCAACTCAGCTTTTGATACTGATCCCGAATATGATATTTTTATTGCTCAGAAGTTCAATTATGGCGGAGAAAATTGAGAATTACGGACACAATTTCGAATTTTTCGCCTTTGCTTTTCGAAAAGATGAGGAAAGTTTGGATTTATAGGTTTTCGAGTATGCTCTACAAGATGAGACGAGTCAAAGTCAATTCAAAAAAGTTCATTGAGCATGCTTTTGTGACAAACGGGCGGTTTTTTCGGACAATGACTCTTAAGCAGGCCTCCCAATCGCGAAAAATAGATTTTGCTAAAAATTACATCACACGATTCGGCATGAAAAACTGGGGTGACGAAATATTTTAAAGGCTTATAAGTCATTTTCTTTTTGAAGAAAATCAAGTTTTTCCAAGACCTAAGCTCAAAAAATCCGAAAATTGCCCAATTCCAGCTTTTTATGTACAAAACCGCCAGTTTCGTTCGGTTTTTGAACGACGTTTCGGACATAAATGGTGCAATGGCACCACCGCAGATCACTCGTATATAGAAAGATAGAGAATTCTCCGGGCTTCAAAATGAACTACAATATATATTGTTTTAAAAGTTTGTCTTCAAAGATTTATTGGCTAAATACAGTATAGATATCTAGACTTTAAAACAAAAAAGGGAGAAGTCAGATGGCACGGACAGTAGTTAGTGATGAAAATTCCGTTCTGTCGAAAAGAACAGAAGATGAATTTCGAAGTATATGTTGCAGCCGATGCGACGTAAATTGAAGAACTTTATTTTTCTTTTCTTGAAAGCAATTGAAGTAACTGTTTCGTATAGCTAACCACCCAATGTAAAGAACGAAAAGAATCTCTTGTTCTACTGAAATAAGACTGAAGTGGTGCAATAATCTTAAAAAGTAAAAGAACAGAAAGAGATTGTTTTTGTATGATATTAATCTTTGTTTAATACAATATTTGTAGAGGTTTTAAGTCTTCATCGAATGAGAAGAAACCTAAACTTTTGGACCAACCTGTGTATGACTTTTAAGAGACATTCCATGAGTGAATCGAGTATCATTAAGAGTCTGTGCACGAGAGTCACAACAATGTATGCTGAATCAATTTTGCTGAATTGCCCGTGACTCGTCTCATCTTGTAGAGCATACTCGAAAACCTATAAATCCAAACTTTCCTCATCTTTTCGTTTTGTAGATACGAGAATTTTTTGCAAACGACATCGTTCGAGAAAACAAATGGATAAAAAACATAAAATCGATATATCTCGAGAACGCAAAGAAATAGGAACAAAATTTTTTCAGCGCTTATGGTACTCAATGTCTACTATATACTGGCATACATTGTTGTGGCTCTCGTGCACGGCCTCTTAAGGATACTCGATTCACTCATGGAACGTCTGTTAAAAGTCATATAAAGGTTTATCCAAAAGTAACCCGGCAGTCTTTGGTTGCGATTTTTGGAACACTTTCGAGTGTCCTAAAAATCGGGTTTTATTCTCATTCGATGAAGATTAAAACCTGCAGAAATATAATATTTAAATCTCTGTTAGCATTTTTCTCGTTCGAGCTGAGTTGTGGAACTGCAAAGTGCTTCTGTCGTCTTCTTTTTTGAGCTGTCTCGCCGATTATCTGAGGTTTAATATTCAATTTTTGTATGCAGATAGGTAGGGAAAAGATGCAGAATTTAACTCTGTGTAAGGTAATAAGAGTAAAATCCTGGATTCAGAACGTTTTACTATAGTTAAAAAACTAAAATTTGTGAAATATAGGTTCAAAAGTTAGATTGTCTCGATCGAATCCAAGGCATTTTACATAGAAACTACGCTAGAGCATGTAGTAATAACTTTAAAATTGCATCTTGTTTTCTAAACAATCACGGAGCGCTGTCTTTGTTGATAGATACTATTGGTTTACTATTAAACATATTTAAATGCATAATAATACAAAAAAGGTTTTGTTACACTTATGTATGCTGAGCAAATGCTTGTCAGACGGCTATATTGCACGTCAACTTGAATGTATACGTGAGTACGCTGCAATCTTGAATTAATTTCCAGTTTATAGAAAATCGATCGAAAAATCGCCGGGGATTTTCCAGTTTACAGAAATTCCTCAACTTATTTCCAGCTTTCTAGAAAATGTTGATTTTCTACTCTATAGAAAATTGACTTAAATTTCCATAAACTCAATTATGTATAAAAGTCGAGAATCGCTGAAAATTTTCTAAAAAAATTTTCCAACTTTACAGCGTATGGCGAATGAAAAACAAACAAAAATACAAAAGAAAAGAAACTCGAAAGAACGGCGTAGTAAGACTATGTGTATCAGAGACAGTTGAAACTATCCTTTAGTTATACGTATTATCATTACATTTTTTGGAAAACATGATACAATTTTAATATTATTATTACATGCTCTAGCGTAGTTTGTATGTAAAATGCCTTGGATTCGATCGAGACGACTACAATTCTGTTTACTGCTGCCATTCTCTTACTATTTATATATGGGCGAATGCAAACTTTAATTGCCCGAAAATCACTCTTAGATGCACCATCGGTCAGAATGATTATTATATCAATTAATAATTCAACAAACTCTACAAATTGGCGTTACTAAAATTTTAAAAGCGATTTGTCAATCCGTTGCCTACCTTCGTAAATGTTATGATCACAAGGGGGAAACAGCTGATTTTTGAGCTTAAAATATCGGTTTAAATGGATCGCTAAAAATGTTTATCACAGTCTCTTCATTTGATTTCCCAAACAAATTATAGAAAATCGATGAAAATCAGTGAAAATCGACGAAAATTGGAAAATCCCAAAATGACCTGTTTCCCCCTTGTATGATCATCACATGAGAATAAATTCACTCTAAAGCAATAATGCTCATCATCTACGTAAATTTAGAGAAATGAAAATTGTACGTCTGTAGAATGTAAGTTGCGATTTTTAGATATAATGTATTATCCATTTCAAAAAAGAAAGACCATGGCCATTTGTTTAATAACTTTTTCTAGGATGTAGCTACGAAGCTGCGGTTTTCACTAGTCGAAAGAAAAATGTTGGGGCAATAAGAAAAACCAAAAATTATTGTCCCAAAATTACCGTAATAATTTTTAATGAAAAAGTTTAAGTTTCTGACTTAAAATGGCTGATATACAGCAACTCTAGTTTTGACAGGCTTCATGCAAAAATCCGTTTTTTCATTAAAATACCCTGGTGACCTTGGATCAACTTCTAGTCAAAAACAAACATCGCCACGTTGATCATCACATTCGGTAACCTATGTTTCAAGTCTTCCCAAGATCTTCCGACGTGTCCGGACCGAGTTAGCGTGGTCTCCGGAGAACCTTTCTAGCTCCGGAACCTTGTAAGCTAACGACCTGGAACTGCTCTAGAAACGAATATCTCAGTCCGGGCTACCTGCCTGTCGTCTCAAAAGTTAAAATTCAAAACTTTTTCCATCTTTCGCAAAATATCTTCGCAGGGTGCACCACCTGCAGGTAATTTTGGGACAATAATTTTTGGTTTTTCTTATTGTCCCAATATTTTTCTTTCGACTAGTGAAAACCGCAGCTTCGTAGCTACATCCTAGAAAAAGTTATTAAACAAATGGCCATGGTCTTTCTTTTTTGAAATGGATAATAGAATGATTCATTTTATTCCACCAAATCCAAGCTTTTATAAATGTACAAAAAAAATATAAGAAAATGGTTTAAATCTGTGATCGACATATAGTTTTACTTGAATAAAAAATACTGGTACACTAATTCGCACGCTGATTGCCTGTTCACTTTTTAAAAAAGAGTCATTGAAGTGTATGTCACTGGTAATAGCACAGGTCTAATAATAATAGTAATTGTCAAATGGCTAGAAGTGTTATTGTATAACTTTAAACGTCTGTAGCACCAGAAGTTACGTCCGTCGTTCTCGACGTTCGTTGCGTATCTCCACGAGTTGTGCTTGCATCAAGTGCACTATTGTGTTCAGATGAACGAATGGCTGACGATCGAACAAGCTAAATAAATAAATAAATAAATGTAAGGTGATGTATGCAGAAAACGAAATTCAAAATCTTTATTCACGGATAATAAAATCCAATAGTGTTTCTTTCGTTAAAATACTTCATAGTAGAAATATCAAGGATAAACGTAATATAAGAGGGCAAACATCTTTTTTGAATTAATGATACAACCAAAATGAGTTCGATAACTGCACATCGTGGCGATGATACCGACAACAGAACAATACTGCAGAGTCTTCATTATCGACTGGCTAGTGTTTTCTTTTTCAAGCTGTTGCAATATCTTTCCGTCAGTAAGAATTATATATCTTTTTTCTGTAACCTGTACCAACTTAGTCGCAAGCAGTGAATTTCACTGTTTGACGTTTAGTTCTGATACTTTCGCACATGCTGTACGAAGCATGTGATTCTGTGAACCAGAGTATCATAGTATTGATGTTCCGATTTGCACTGACTTTTCATCAATTAAGAGTTATGAGTCAACAATCACCACTTACCGGTTCTGCTGCAGGATCGATGATACTAACATTTTTGACTATAAGAAGAAAAGTCATAGCCAACGAGTATTACATACAGCATACAACTTCGTACCTCTTTCAGTATTGCTGCTAAGCACTGGTAATGGAGCTTTAGTTTTGGACTTTCTTCCACGAAATAATGACACTGCACTAACGATTAAAATTAAACTGAATATTATTCCGAAGCATATTGATACAATATAGTACCACGATAGACTAGTACGACGTTTTCTGGAACATTTTTTGAATTGTGATTTTTGAATTTCATCATTTCCTACAAAAAGATCAATAAATATGCTTTGCGTATTGATTTCATCGTCATGTACAAACGAAATAGATCTAGTGATGTGTTCTGTATGAGAGTATTTACCTGGTAATGTATATTCACATGCTAAACGTACAAATTTATTATTACAAGGAACTTGGTCAATACACATAGTTTTCTCATTTCCATTTGTTGAGAAACACTCTTCATTATTTATAATATCAGGTTTAGTACAATAATTTGGTTTAGATTCTCCACATTTGTCATTGTAGTCTTTCGATAATTGTATAGCATAACCATCTTCCTTGTATGTATCAATTAATTCTTGTAACAGTCTAGATTTCGCCGGTGAATTCAATATCACTGGGCGTACACCCTTCTTCGTCATTTGTACACCAGTACCTCTCAGACTTTTAGCAATATGCATTGTACAAATTTGCTTGATATCATTCCATGAGAACTCTTTGCCGTTTGACGTAGGAAAATATAAACATTCAGTCCCAACTTGTAACCATCGGTCAGAACAATCACCTCGTTGCCAGTTAGTGTCAAATCGCTGTTCAGCTGGACGTTTTGAACCAGTACGATACGCTTCTGTAGAAATAGATACAAATACAAGTAAAAGCTCCGCATACTCGTTAGCACGACTGACACGTCGAGCTATGGTAATGAAGATGAAGTTGTTCAAACAAGCATTAATCGACATTTTTATTGTATCACACGTAGTGATATGACTCTTCTACACGATTTCGAAAGCAAAATATCGGCCACGTACACTGGGTTTACTCAACATTCGTCCCTAATACTCAATTTCACTTTTGATGCCACCTTGGATGTTGTTTGATCTGCAAAGCCAGTTAGGGACGAATCGAGAGAATACCGTGCACCCAGTTGAGAGTGAGCATGGAAAAAAATTTCTGTCATGAAAGAACTGATGTATCTATTTATATATACAGCGCGTATTCTTTACCAAGTAGCACTTCAAAACACAATTCAAAGTTTCCAACGAGCAACACTCCATATAACTTTTGCAGAGAGTTTCACGACACATCTTTTGAAAAGCAATTGCCTCTAACCAGAGAATACCCATAGAACCATATACACGCGAATTAGTTACTAATTTTTCCAGCATCCGTTATATGACCGAATACCAGTGTCTGAGAGAATCCCACTCTCTTTGCATGTTACATTTGAAGAAGTGAATATAGAAGAAAAAACTTTTTCCTTTGTTAACATTTCTTTTGACATAGTTACATGTTCATTTACTAAAACTGTCGTACATTGGCTTGGCAATTAGTCTATTTTCTCCTAGCTTTACGTCAGTCTTCCACTGACTAGATCAAATATGATCATTCAACGTTTCTGTTAGGGTCAGACTCTACAGTATTTTCAAACAGTTTAGTGATACCTGGAGAGAATTCTGATTGACCATTAATTTGTATTGAAATGAATGTTGCTAACAAATAAATTACACATACTTTCTGCATTTTATTTAACAAAAATTTCACAATGTGTTTTATTGAATGAATGTAAAGTTATACATATAATTTAAAACAAACATATATCTTTTTTTCTAATATCAAGAACAATTCTGAAGCAGTCAGAATTCTGTTTTTCTTTTTCTTTAAGTTATTATCTTTTATTTTTATATTCGAATATTTATCAATGTCTTTTTGTCAGATAAATTCATTGACTAATGTTTATGTCTCATAGATCCATAAACCATAGCCATTATTTTCTCATTGCTTTTTATTGTGAATAATATATCGAACTATATTATTTTTCCTTTATTCTATATGTCGATTAATGAATCATCATACACATGTTATTGAAGCAGCAGTATTTTCGAAGAAAATAAGAAAATAGAGTGAATAAGTGAATCGAAATGGTAGTATTTATTCTTCACCTTTATGATTACTTAACAGACGAGAAAAAAAAGAAAATTTCAATGTTATTTTGAATACAATGATTAATTTAGAAATGAAAAAATGGTCTCTAACAAAATCTATGACAATAAGAACAGCCAGAGACACAAATTGTTTTTGTGTTTTTGGATAGTTTTAGTTTAGAATTCTGTAATGGAATGTTTGTCCGCTTGTATTCTGACAGAATAAAGCTTGTGTCAAACACTACTAAGAGTACCACCCTCGTGTTTGAAAAAATTTTGGATTTTGAGCTAAGCATAGCCTAATGAAAATTCGAATTTGGCATTTTTCTTTACTTTCAAGCTTAGAAACTAATCTTTTTCAATTCAACATTGAAAACTGTATATAGAGAAGATGTTTGATTGATCTCAAATCTAAAAGCTGATTTAATCTGCTTCACTTCAACTGACCCTCCAAAACAACAGCAAGTCATTTTGCAAACCCATTTAGTTGTTGGTATCAATACATTTTGCCATTTCTCTTATCGCATTCCAACCGTCGAACTGTCAGCTTTAACGCGACATGTCGATCTTTTTTATTTTGTTTTGTTCTCGAGAAAAATTATTTTTACTAAAGCCATATAGGAAAGAGGGGAGAGTCGTTTTAGAATAAAACTTTTATTTTCTACTTATATATCGTGAATATAGGCCTAAATAGGTTAAAAACCATCGTAAATTCAATGAACATACTTCTGAGATCTTCAGAAATTTTCTAACATCAGTTTAAGAGAGTGAAGCCGAATAAAGTAACATTAATCAGCGCTAATTAGTTATTACAGTAGTTCGCTTCGCGACATATCATAGTTTTTTTATTGAAAAGACGATTGAACGAAACATCACGTATTGTGTTCTATTTCAACACAGACGACGGTCACAGTAATTTTGAAATGACCCAGGTTAAAAATAGGAGAGAAGCCGTGTTCATTGTGACTGGATGAGATACTAAAAAAAGACGTATTGTTGAAACAACGACCAAATCAAAATAAAGAATGACAAACTACCTATTGATGTTGAAGAACACTGTTTATTGTCAATTATTGAGAACAATTGTATACGGTGATTCCAAGTGTCGGATACATAAAGATTGCCATCCTTATCAAATGCCAAATCGTTTGGTGTGTTAAATTGATCTGCCTCATTGCCAACACCTGGCGCCCGAGAAAAAGCAACTTCCAGTTACTTTTTTTCATTCAGAATAATAAAGCTGATCAGATGGTATCGATGTAATCCCTACGCTGCCTTTGCACAAGATTGTGACCACTTTTCGACTTGATTCTCACTTTTTAAGGTGATCGGATCCAATACATGAATAGTGTCAGCAAATCAGAAGTCGGAACGATTGATGAAGGGAAAGATTCAGTAAATAATAAAGAGTACGACATTTTATTTCCCGATGGTTCTTTTCCCAAGAAAAAACCCTTTCTGAGTTTTCGTTTTCGAAACTCGGAAGCTCAATATGGCTAACAATGAGTGACAAATGCATTCGTATCCGACGGGAAAACAACTTCATACGTCAGCTGCTTTCATGTTTAGTCTTTCTAGCATAAACATGAAGTCATTTTAAGCAATTCTAAATCACTCGAACATTTTTGCTTTCAAATATTCAGCCCTTTCGTTTTTTTCTTGATCAATCACATCCGTTTCTAGATTTTCTCTAGTTGTTTTAAGGTGATTATTTCTAGACCACAACAACAGAATGTTTAAAAAACTGATGGACTAATAGAAAGCTTCTGGAAAGGCTTTTTGGTCAAAAGAGATCGATGAAAAAAACTTGATTGGCTTACAGAAACTGATTATTCAAGAGAAAATTTTGGAGAGAGTCTGATTGATCTAGAGAAAAGAAAGAAAAATTCACTTTAGCAACCCAAGTGTAGGTAAGAATCCGAATAATCGGGAGAAAAGCATGAAAAAATGTGATTAATTCAGAAAAACGGAAAATAAAATCAATTGATTGAGAGAAAATGCAGAAAAGAACTGATGGGCCAGAAAAAAAGCGAGGAAAAACCCAGAAAGAGTTTGATGATCAAGAATAAATTTACTAAAAAATTTGGTTAATTGAAAGAAAATCCGGTAAGGAGTCTGATTGATCAAGAGAAAATTCAGAAAACAAGCTAAGTGGCCAAGAGTAAAGTCAGAAAATGGTCAAAGAACAATGAAATATTTGGATATGTGAGGACGAAAGGAGGAAAGAATTATGTAGAACATAATCCAAAATGATTCATCAGTGAAGAATAGAGATCATTTTTTGTCTCGTATCGTCATAAACAATTTGTTACTTTTGCAAGGAAGTAGGGCATTCTGCCTTCGACAAGCGATGAGGGCCACAGTCGGACGGTTATTATCGCTTAAGTGCGAAGACAAACAGAAACTCAGAGTTACTCGAGGATCCTTACACAGACTTATATGATTATTTCTCATGATAGAACAAGTAGAGAAGGAATGGGACGTTCAAAAAAGGAAAAAACCCTTTGATTCCATCTGACTGTTACTCTTCTCGTCTATACCAAAAAAATTGACACAGTTTACCATCAGCAGTCCAGCTTCGTCCATCACTGAGTAACAATTTGATCAGTAACAGTAAACTGCCATTTAGCAGCAGCTGAATTGTCGCATATTAAAAAGAGCAGCTGTAAACTAGACCTAACTAAGAGAACAATGCGAGACAATCTTGAACTTGCTGATAGGGGTTGAACCGGTTCGTTTTCAGTTTCAGCTATGAATGAAAAATATGGGAGACTATTTATCAACCTTCAATTTTGAAGTGTGAGCTTCAGCTCCCGCTTTCTAACACGATGAAATATATGCATACCAAATCCGCCGGCGATGGTATCACCTTTAGAAGCATTGAAAAGCCAACGTTGAATTCGATTGTTCAAGGAATCAACCACATACACAATATTCGTTTCTTCATCGACCAGTACACCACTCGGATCCGTTAACGATGCAGCATCGCTAGCTGGACTATCCGCATTTGATCCAGCGACAGTGATGCCCGTTTGTGCATTTTTTACCCACTTCTGAATGCGATTGTTCTGCGAATCGGCCACATATAATGCACCACTCGTTCGATCGACATAAATGCCAGCAGGAGAACTAAGATATTCGCCCGTTCCTCCTCTCTCGTCTGTCCGACCAGCAACAACAATTGTATCATTCGTTTCAGGTGACCATTTGAGTATACGATGTCTATCTGATTCTGACATGTAGACATTTTTTTGTTTATCCACCGATATGCCCAAACACGAGCGACATTCAACTCCTAATTGTACACCGCTTGAGGATCCTATCTTCCATTTCTCGACTCTGTTGCCGATGAAAATTGCGATGTAGATCGTTGGCCCATCGCTCTCATCATCAATGTAGATCTTGGAAGGATCGGCCACATTAAATACAGCAGTTGTACCCGTGCTCGATGATGGGTTGAGCGAAAACATTTGAACACGTGCATTGCTGAAATCAGCTACATACAATGTGTTCGTTTGTTGGTGAATAAAAATTCCACGAGGTAAGGATAGTTCAGTCGGGGAGTTACCGGCAACGCCAGTACCAGCTACTGTGGTACCAGTTTTGCTCCACCTTGCACAAGGGCTAATCCTAGTCCAGGCTAGCGGTAGACAGCAGCAGCACACGATGACAACTTCAACATGAAAAAACGTCACTTTGTATCTCTTTCCTCCTTTTATCTTCAGAACTTACAAATAGAGTGAAAACGAATTTGCATCCTCAGCGACGGTGAAGACAACCCAATAGAGAAAAAAATTCTAGAGCATACACAAACACACACATAAAGATTAGTCAATATGGTGTATACGAGTCAAAGAGATAAGAGGTAGAGCAATGGATACATTTGTGATGCGACATTGTTACCTTGCATTTTTTTTTGTCCAAACAGATAACGTTGTCTTACTCATGTAGGTCACAAATATTGATGAGGTAGAAACTACTTTTATAAAAGAAAAATTTTATTAGAATTTGGGAAAAGTAGATATAATTATAATACTAGTAGTCATTCAAAACTGAAATAGACACAATAGACGTTTATATGGGTACACTGGTTTATCCGCCTTTATCCTGTCAACCTGTTTTGTCTGATATTCCAAAACTAAACAACTGAAGACGTATCCATTCGATAGAACATTTCCATGTTTCGATAGCAGATTGGGAATCGCCGATTTTAAAATGCTATAAAAATCGGTTTGTCCGATTTAATCGACGATCCAATATACAAGTACCCTTCTACCCTTCTTTTTACCGGAAAAAGGAAGAAATGACTTGTTTAAAAGTAAAAATTGATCTTTTTTGGCAGAATTGAGCTATAAATGAGCTTCTCAAAACATGCCCACATAAGACAATCATTGAAAGACGCGACAGATATCATCACTTTCATTTATTCGAAGACTTTAAACGAATATTTCTTCTATAAAATGAAGAGATGATCATCATTGCTTGTATTAATAGTGCTTGGTACAAGACAGCTGGAGAAACAAGCGTATAAAACTACAACATTCATATCTCTTTCTGTTCTTTTACTGGTTATTGCATCACCTCAGTCTTATTTCAATATAACAATAGATTCTTTTCGTTCTTTACACTGGGTGATGGTTAGCTATACGAAACAGTTACTTCAATGGCTTTCAAGAAAAATAAAGTTCTTCAATTTACGTCGCATCGCTGCAACATATACTTCGAAATTCATGTTCCGTTCTTTTCAACAGAATGGAATTTTCAACAATAATATCACTAACTACTGTCCGTGCCATCTGACTTCGCCCTTTTTTTATTTGTTTCTCCAACTGTCTTGTACTAAGCATTATTGATACAAATAATCATGATCATCTCTTCATTTTATAGAGACTAGCAGAGAAAAGCTCACAAGAGTAGAGATAAATAGCAATAAAATCCATTTTAAGATAAACGCACCGTATTTAGATTAATCGTTTTTGCTGTGTTCTGTTAAATTTCTGTTAGCAGTATTAATACTCGTCGATCTATATATGAAAATCTACGTTGTGTTTATCTTAAAATGGATTTTATTGCTTTTTTTCTTTACTTTTGTGAGCTTTTCTCTGTTTTACTTCATTGTAGAGCAAAAATTTTCTTTTTCTTTGATAGATAAACTACTTATCTAGGTCCTGACAAAGCTCGATGATTGAAATAGGCTTTCCTTCAGTGCGCATAACACGATCTCTCCAAGATTACAGAAGTTTTCTCAACGTTTTCGACTTTAGAAATTCTTTTGAAATTGACAAAATTTTAAATTTCCAAGTGGCTCTGTCAGGATCCATTAGTGTGGACAAAGTGTCTAAAGACGAATTGACGAATCGCAATTTTTGGGCGTAAAAATGATGCAACAATTCTCATTTTACCATTGTTTTGCGATGGGAATTCCGTAATTCAATGCGAACGAGGCGAACTAACAAAAATGATCAAAAACGAACCAAAAAATTGCCTCTTTTCTTACTTTTGCCAATTCGTAAATTAGGACGAATTCGTAAATCGAATTGGTCGACCATCGACGAACTCGTGAAATGATCATTTTGGTCCCCAAGATATCGTGTACGAATTCGTAAATTGGCAAAAATACGATAAAATGCGAATTTACGAATTCTATTTAGAACTCATAGATGCCAAAGCATAACCGACGAATTCATAAATAGAATTCGTGAAATACGAATTGATGTCAGGGACAGGACACTTTTCTCTGAGGTTAAAAATAGATAGATTCGTCTCTTCTCTTCGATTTGCATACTTCTCACCCCACTTCGCCGTTATTTTTACGAATTTCGTATTCTACGAATTGATCAGTTGAATGAATTAATCAAAAAATGTGACTATAGACTATATTAATACATGTATCTGTGCGAAACAAAACAGAGGGGAATCTCTCTCGCTTTTGTGTGCATCTGCCGAGCGGGGGGGGGGGGGGCTGTGAGTATTTTTACACCATCGCATATTTTACGAATTCGTAAGAATAACGGCGAATTGGTATGAGAAGTATGCGAATCGATGAGAAGAGACGAATCTATCTGTTTTTAACCTCAGAGAAAAGTGTCCTGTCCTTACGTAGCCTAATAAGCGTACACATCAATTCGCAATGAATTTGAAGAATGGGTTTATCAATTCGTGGATCCATTTTCAACCGCTGAATCAGTTCGTAATACGAATTCGCTAATTCATATTTACGAATCAATCTAGTTCCAAAAACAGTGAACACGAATTCGTAAACTAATTTTATGAATTATTTGCGAAATGATCAGCACCGTGTTTGATCTATTCGCTGTTTACGAATTCGCAAGAAGAGTTCGTAAAAGTTTTTAAGAGTATCCGTACGAATTAGATACAGTTCGCATCAGTTCGGTACGAATCCGCAAAATAAGAGTAAAACGCGAATTGTTGCATCATTTTTACGCTTAAAAATTGCGATTCGGTAATTCGTCTTTAGACACTTTGTCCACACATCTGTCAGGATCTAGATATAGATATTTATTGATTATTAAAGCAATTTCCGAATCTCAGTGAAGAATCTCACTTGAACTTTTCTTATCACTCAACCCCCTAGCTTATCGTGATTTTGGTACAAGGGCTGCTTTGAGTTTAGTATGGTTACTAGTAGTTATTAGTATGGTTTAATTTAAATATATATTTCGACCAGCTTATGTGTTTTCCGTGGCGAGCTCGCAAACTCTCTGTTGAGTACCCTGTTTTTAATTTTTCAACTACTTCTATTTTTTGAAATGACAATGATGTAAAACTACCATAGATTTTTCTGAAATCCTTACTGTTGGTGTTTACGTACTACATCCAAAAAACAGAATAATATTTTATTTTTGCTTGTTGGATATATCAGCGTTATAAAACACCAGAACAGTTAATTATTCTAAAGGTTTTATTCCATTTTTAGATAGTAATTATTTTAAGAAACAAAAACGCGAAATATTATAGAAAATAGACATGTTTTTAGATGACTCTTATTTGACACTCAAAAAAATTGACAACTTTTCCTGGTCGAACACCCGTGATGTATGTTGTTATGGTGAGGAGGCGGGTGTAGCAATTGAATAAACTCGGGCATGGAGCAGAGTTTGTCACAATGATGGATTTTTAACGAACATCGTATATGGTTTACTTTAAAGACCCTGCTGTCGTGTTCATTTTATTATCAGTTCCACATCAATGTTCATTCGTTATACGAACAAAATTAAGGACACTACTCCCTTGTTCGAAAACAAACAGTTTTTACATCTTAACCGACTTGAATGAAATAATTTGAATGAATTATTACTACAGTAAAAATCTCAACTTGTTACTTTAAATTTTGAGGAAAAGATTTGAACAATATCTTACTCAAATTCAACTAATTTTTTAGTCGAATTTTTTTTGTCAACTAATCTCTTATACCCGTGAATGGTTTTGCTCGAAAGAGCATTTACTTATCTGACTTTTGAAATAGAACAGTTTATTATTTTTTATTTCTATCAGCTACGAGAAAAATTCATCGCCAGAAACTTCTGAAAAATTTGACAAAAAATTTATTCAGTAATATGAAACAATATTCATTGCTGTGTATAATTCGATAATTCTTAATTTTATTTGTAAATAATGATCCAACTGTAAGACTGAAATTTGTTGTACGTCTCTTGTTCTCATAGGTAGTAACATACCGGTATGTCTCAATATTTGATCCCTCCAATTATTTTTTGAACATTTTTTCTCATCAACTCGTTCTTGAAAACTTGACTCACGTTTCCTCGTAAGTATAACTTGATTTGACCCGAGTTTATTAAAACAATCTAACTTAAATTCAACATCTCCAATGTTTTTTAACTCAAATTATTCAGAGTAGCTAAGGGTGTATTCTAGCGCTTCTGCCTTGTTATTAGATCATCTCTGATCAACGCATGCATTTTCTTGTCACTTGTTTGTGTATCAATGATTTCTCTTTCTCAGCCCAGTAAAAATTCAATTCTATTTACATTCTGAAATCCTGTTTCACATTTTAAAATATTATTTATTAGTCATAATTCTTCAGTTCAGTTCAGTTTATTTTGACAAACAGTCGTAGCACTCTCTCAGTGCTATATAGTAGGACGTTTGATATTAGTAGCTAGCAATGAGAAAAGGTTTGATCCTCGTCCTCTTTGTCATCAAAATACGATAGTATCAACTACATAGTGTCGATGTTTTAGCGTTTGTAAAAACATTTAGTTATAATTTTAGTTTTAGTTTTAGCGTTTTACTGGCTAAAATTTTGAGACAAGTGTCAAGGTTTTCGAGATGTATCTTGTGATCGATTCGTTACGTGTAGATATTCTAAAAATATACAAAACGTGTGATTGAAGTTTAACATTCTACCTCAACTAAATGCTGATTGTTTCTAAGGTTATGTTTTGATTTTCTTCGATTTGTTCTTATTGCTAGTCGGTATTGTTGTACAATGCTCGTAATACTTCGTCCCGAACGTTTTGATGTTACAGTGTCATCGCGTAGAGATCTCTTTTGACTTGCAGATGGCATATCGGATCTCAATTTATAGAGCATCAACCAAACGAGAATGATTAGGAATATTAAGCCACCGATTGTGATAATAATTATGACGCTAACAGGAAAGTTCGTAGCAGATGTAAATGGCTTTTCTGTGGTTAGTGTAATCGTACTGGAGCCTAAAGTTGTTGTGGTTGTGGCAATTGTTGTTTGTATTTCGGTCATCGGCAAAGTTTTCGGTACTGGTACCTGTAAAGTGGACAAAAGTAAAGGAATAGCTAAAATATAGCGGTCAGTTTTACCTACTGTTCGCACTTTTAACGTAGTTGTTGGTGCTTCAGTTGTCGTTGTTGTCGATAACGTTGTTGTTATTTCAGGAACAATATTAAATGGCCAAAATGATGAATCTGTAATGCCCATTGAATTTCTGAGACATGTGCTGATTTCTAGAAACACTCCTGGATCAAACGAGATGTAGAACGATTGTCCCGGCGTAAACTCAATACTCGTATAAATAACCAAACGATCAGATAAATAAAGAACATTGGTTGTTTCTAGTACAACATTCAATGTTAAAAAATCTTCTGCAGTTGATTGTAGTTTAAACCGAATATATGCTTCAACCAATGGACGAGTAAAGGATGTAGCATTCGGATATAGTATAGTCCAAACTGATTGAAATTTCGATACTGTTCCTATTGGATAGCGTGTAACGTTTCCAATGTACAATGTGTTCAGACTTGATGTGCTCAGTTGAACAGTGAATCTCAGACATGTGGAATCACCCTGATTTCCAACGGAATCAACTCCGGCAAAACAAAATAGATTTTGGCCCACTTGGTTTGCAGCAGCTGTATAATTAACCATAAAAAAGTTGATTGTTGTGTCATATGGATCTTCATAAATTGCAGATTGTGAAAATCCGGGGGGATACACAGCAATAACACTAGACAAATTGGCACCCGGACATTGAATTTGAATTCGAATACGCATGGTGACTACTTGTCCTGGATCGACGTAGATACACTGATCTGCTGGTGAATCGCCCAGATAGACAGGTGGTAATAAACAAGTATTATTTGTATCCCAAACATGAAATATAAATTGTAATGGTACACGAGATAATTGAGTTGTGTTTGTCAGTGATTCAAAATCAACAATTGTCAAGGCGATTGCATAATATCCGACTGATGGGCCTATAAATTTGAGCATACATGATGTTTGGTTTAAGACACTTGACGCCGGAACAGCTTTACACACACCGCCACACTCATTCAATGAACCGTTTGACCAGAAACACTGATATGGATCGAAATCGTTGTCAGCCACATTTATTTTTACGTTATAAGTTACATTTCTTCTCAAACGAATAATTGGTAGCATTGTTGCAATTGGAGCTTGATTATACTTGCCATTGCTCCGTTGAAATGTATTTATTTGTACTGCGACTGACCAATCAGATCCAGTACTCAATACTAGTGCAAACCAAGCTGAAGAATTATATATCGCTTGAAAACGATAGTTTTTTGGGATTTTAACTTGAAAACGTGATTCACCCATTGAATAATCTTCAAGGGTATTGTAACTGGTGCACGGGACAGCAACTGAACCCAAATTTGTTGCCATGGTAGGCGGACATGACGAATAACAAGTGAGGGTGCCTGAACCAATTGTTGGTGAACCACTTGCGATCGATGCTGCAGTACATGGATAATATCCTAGTCTCCAGGCATGCCGTTGCAATATCTCGACTACCAACGGTGTAGATGTTGAATTTACAACTCGCCAACTAATCATTGAGCCACGAAAATGAGAGCATTGAACCAAGTGGATATAAAAGAAGACAATTAATATCTCGGTTGACCAAAATCGACAAAGATGTTGTGTTGCCATTGTTTCAATTCTGATTCTGCTTTGTTCTGAAAAAATACTTTATTTCACTTAATTATTACACGTGAAAATAATAGAGATTTATTTTCACATATTTTTAACGACAGCAAAATTGAATTTTTTTAGTCCTATGTCATCTCATCGTGTGTTGTATGCATTAAGAGATACCTTATATGGACGTTGTGTAGCTCATGTATAATCAGTAAGTTTCTTATTAATATACACAACAAACTTGGAGGTTCATGTGAAAAGAAGGCAATCGACGCTTCAGCAAATTCTTCTGTTGATGGATAACAGTGATAAGTTCCATCTTCCGATAGAAAATGCATCAAATCAAATTTAGAATCATGCGTTTTTAAGCCCCTCGTACAAATCAAATACCCAAGATTGAAAAATGATTTGAAACTGTAGCAAAGCGAATAGTAATAAAGAGTGAAGTTTTCTTGCAAGCATACACTTGGTTCACAGTTCCGCCCTCTAAGAAGCAACCTACTCAGGCACAAACATTTGATTATGCATGAGCTTTACAACGTCTATATAAGGTATTTCTTAATGCATACAACACACGATGAGATGACATAGGACTAAAAAATTTCAATTATTTTGTTGTTAACAATATGTGAAAATAAATCTCTATTATTTTCACATAAATGAAATAAAGTTTTTTTTCAGAACAAAGCAGAATCAAAATTGAAATACTGGCAACACAACATCTTTGTCCATTTTGGTCAACCGAGATAGTAATCGTCTTTTTTGATATCTGCATCATTATCCAGTAACTTCTGTTCAATATGATTTTGATCAGTGACATTATTCACTTTGTATTTTCCGCTTTCATCCAATAACTCCGGAGCCTTTTTCTTTATGTGAGCACCATCATCATTTCATTGTTATAGGGGCCATTTCCCTCTCCATTGATCTGTTCGCTCGATCAAAGCAGGCGATTTAACGTGCCTCGAAAGTACCGAAAGAAGAAAGTATTCAGTTCATTTGACCTGTCGAATCGAGTAAGAATGAAGACAGAACATTGAGAGAGCAAAGTTAAAAAACATTGATAAATAAGCATCACACTTGCAATATGAAAACGGTGATTTTTCATAAAATCAACTAAAGAAAAAATATTCTCCTCAAACCGCTTGTGATTATAAAGAGTTTTAAAGATAGCCAGTTGGTAGAGCTTTTCAAGTACTATACAATGGCCATGTTCTCTTACTCTATATCGCAAAATATATAGGACTAATCCTGAAAAAGCGTGTTTTGTGTTAGAAAGTAATGGAAATTGAAGCTGCACAGTATCTCGTCTCTATTCTTTATTTTTATGATATATAAAAAAATATCCAATATGATTCTTGTAGAGAATGAAATGGCTAATGTTTTTGAAAAAAACCTCATGGCTGCATAATCAAAAATAAAAGAGTTATTTAAAAAAACACTGAGCGGGGCGTTTTAGCCTGAAGCACCCGTTGTACTGAATTCATGACTGATACCATGGTGTACACAGATTGCATTGTATCACATAATTTTAAGAAAATGTTTCTAGTTATTATTGTTTAGTGTATTTATATATCGTATAAACACATCAAAATACAATCTCTTGTTTTTCTTTTCTCTTCTAATTTTTACATTTCTTTTAAGGGTACTCCTTCTCTCTTTTTGAGCTTTCTGTAGAAATGCTGTGAAATAAAAACTAAAAGTCATTCAGGCTTCATATTTTCAGAACTGATTGGACACTCAATAGAGCGTTTTTTCGTTTTGTTTCAAGTTTTTAGCTATTACCGTTCACTAGTTTTTCAGAAAACGCGTATTTTCATTGTGTCACATTACGATCTCCCATGAAAACTCATCGGAAAGTCTGGGAGATGTCTGATTGTGAAGAAAACACTTTTTTCTATCAGACTATGTATAAGAAAAAATTTTGAATGCACAGAAAATGAGAGAAAAGTTTATGAAACTAAAAAATTGAGCTTTTTAGGCTTTGAGGGAAAAACTTCAGAAATGCATAACTTTTTGAAGTAAGGTGATGGAATCCTGAGAGTGGTCTCATTTCATAGCTCACGTTTTCCTCTACATTAGTTTATGCTCATCTCAAAATTCGAAAGTTTTTCAAAAAAGAGGGCTTGCATATTAATGTTCTCTAAAACCATATTGTTTTGTCTAGCGCACCAAAATAGACTCGATCTCAGTCTTTAAACAGTATCTCGTAGACTACTTTCTTGTATGAAAGAATATAAAATTGCCAGTTTGCCGTGATTTAGTGTTTCAAAAAGGTATTTTTGATAGACTGAAATATTAGTAATATAATATAAAGAAATACAAATAATCTACGTTGACTGCTAGTAATACGGTTCTTTATCAACATCGCGCGAAATTAGAGCAGCAAAACCGTTCACATCAAAAGATCCGAATTATACTGTTAATGTAAGTGTTCTATATGAAACAGAAGTTAATAGAAACAAGAGACGAGTTATATTTGCGATAATATATCAAGTGCAATTCACGATGAAAACGAAATATTGTTTGATGTCGATTTAGCATTCGAAGTACATGAAATTGAGTATGATATAGAGTACTCCACAAAAGGAGCAAAATCTCTTTAGCTCAAGAATCATGATAGCTAGGAGCTAGGGACTTCTAATTTTCTAAGCTTTCTGACCAACGTTTCACCTACGTTTTTTGGAAACATTGGTTTCTATGATTATTTCTTCATAATTATCATGCACATTGAATGCAGATTCCGAATCTGCATGATCTAATAACAAGGCAGAAGCGCGAGAATACACCCTTAGCTACTCTGAATAATTTGAGTTAAAAAACATCGGAGATGCTGACGAGTTACGTGGTACAGCGCAAAGATCTCGTCAAGATCCCGACAATTTTTCAGGGCCCGGTGGCTCCGCTGGAGGCGTTCACGGTATATTACACTATATTCAACAGCAGACATCAAATACACTTCGTTTACTTTTCTTCTTTGATCTTATTTTCCTTCCGCTTCATATATTTTTCTCATGTGCTTGTGCATATGTGTGTTTTACGTTATTTTTCTTAAAGAGCAAAATAAGGGAAGGAAAAAATTGTATACTTTTGTCGAGATGTTCATTTCTTCTGTAAAGAAGCGGTGAATTTATTTTATATTCTGCCAACTTCTCGAACTAAAACTAAATTAACTAGAGAGGAACCATTCCCACGTTTTATACTAGTTTGAAGTACACAAGTTGTACTATATATTGATATATTTTTCAGAAAAAAATCCCTTTTAGCTTTTAAGATATGTGGCCTCAATATTGGTGATTAACGTTTCAAAACTCATACTTTCTTCTTTTACACTCGAGAGTTAGATAAAATCTTTTTGATCACCATGACCTTCCGACTTTCTCTTTGGCTCGTGATAGTTAGATTAAGTGTTAGCGCTTTACTGACCATATTTGTCTTGTCCTCTTTGTATAGCACTAACCAGTCATTATCAAGTAAATTTCATATAAGGAAGTTAAAAGCAAAATAATCAGAGAGAATGTAAAAACACGAAACAAAAATTATTTTTTTATGAAGCTGTCGCTCTCTTCCTTGTGGATGTAATCGACAGATATTCGATGAAAATAGCATTTTTCCTTCTCTTATATTTAGTTTAAGAAAAAATGCTCTACAAATTAGTCACTTTATAACTACTTTTTCTCTCGAATTTGTATTGATAACACACAGTTAATAGGAACGTCAGTTTTTCAGCGCTTCCGGGAGACTTTCCGAAAAACCTGCAGAAACCTTGGATGAAGATTATGGCAGCAGACATCTTGGTCTATCCAATAATGTGCTTTGCTTAATATTGGCACTTTTATAAAATTTTTCTTTTAGTATTATCAGTATCTTTCGTTATGACTCTAATAAAATTTAATCGAGATAATCTTGGGTTTCTCTTCAAGACTCGATAAAATACTTCACAAAACCTAGATGAATCTATGGAAATTTTGATTTAATCTTATTTTGATGTTTCATTTCTACTTTATTTCATTTTCTGCATAAAACTAATGTCGTTATTCAGTGAATAGATAAAGTTCGAACACACATTATCTTCGATTATCACACAGTGGGCATTCAGGCGGAAATTTGAGCAAAAATCGACAAGTGAGCTTTTTTGAATTCGAACAGTAGTAAATGTAGTCCTTGAAAAGCGCTATCGAATGGTATATAATGATCGACTAGTAATGAA